CTGGCACTTAACAATAACAACAAACTGTATATGGGGTCACTTTGAGTCAGGACCAACTTGTCAGCACTTAATAAACAGTGCTCTTGAGGGAGGTACTTGTATTAGCTTCCATTTTAAAGATTGGCAAACTGACGTTCTGAGAGGCCAAAAAAGCTGCTCAGGACCTAATCATGTACTGTTGTAGTTAAGTGCTGCTGAGTCAACTAGACTCATAGCGATCCTGAATCCAGGGTTTCCAAGGAGCAGCTGGTGGGTTTGTACTTCCAATCTTATGCTAATCCCACAGAGTCGCAGTCATGTGACAGAGGTGAATTTACACACATCTGTGTCATCAATCTCCTCCTTGCTTTATCAAAGACTATTTTGACAAAGACTGGAACATTCAGGGAGAGCACAATCACCATGGGCGTTTTAACTCCCAAAGTGTTCCCGCGGAGTACAGGCAGTCCATCTTTTTTAGTCTTTAAGTTGAATTTGTAGGCCCGTCAGAACAGTTGCATAAGATTGTCTGCCTTCCTTTAGTGCATGAAAAGGTTTCGAGCCTTGTCAGTTACGTAGAAGCTGTGCACATGCAGCAAATGAAGGTGACTGTGATGGAGATTTTTGTTATGAGTAGCAGTTGGTTCAGTCGTTTCCAAGTGAGAGCCCATTTACACAGCATTGAAGGAGATCTGGTATTTTAGTAGGATCCAAGTTAGGATGCTAACCACAATGTCAGCAGTTTGAATCTGCCAACTACTCAGAGGGAGGAAGATGAGGCTTTCTGTTCCTGTAAAGATTTACAGCCTTAGAAACTCCGTACAAGGTCTCTATAACTTGGAACCGACTCCATGGCGCATAATCACATTAAAGAGCAAGCGTGGATTGTCCTTAATCTGGAGACTGCCTGCAGTGAAGATGTTCAGGCAGTCAGAAGTGTCTTCCACTTCAGCATGAGAGAAAAAAAGACACATGGAAAAAGAGAGGATCTCTCTCCTGGACCCTCTGCTGTTAAATAAATACCTAAACACCCGAGGCCATATTTTTGAAAGGAATTCTTATGCCCTTTGGGAGATCTTGTTTCCATCGGCCTGAAAGAAGCTGCCCCTGCCCAGGAGGCCTTGAGCAGGTTAAGTGTGCCCTCTGCTGGCCTGTCAGCAGACAGCACCTCCTTTTTGAAGTCCCTCCCTGCTGTGCTTCATTGTGATGTGCTGATTCCCACAGGGAGTTTGAAGTGGGGAAGCTTTGGCAGCAAGATCTTGTTAGAAAAATTACTGTGGCATTTTGTTCCTGAAGGAATCTCATAATTATGAACAGCATCAGGATTGTTGCTTCAGGGAGACGGAATAACAGTGGTGGAAACTTAGAAGTCAGGCATTTGTGAGTGGAGTTATGGCACTGTAAGATCAGCACTGGACCAAAAGGTCAGTTTGAAATGCCAAGTCTTTGGTTCAGACTTACCAGCTACTCCTTGAAAACCCTATACAGGTCACCCTGAGTCTGAACTGACTCACAGAAACTTAACAAATACAAAGCCCACAAAACGCAAACCCGCAGCCAGTGAATCGAAGTCCAGTTCATAGTGAGTCTCTAAGGACCGAGTAGAATTGTTCCTTAGGATTTCTGAGACTAAATCTTTGCAAAAGCAGAATTCCTCATCTTTCTCCTTGGGGTGGCTGGTGGATTTGAACTACTGACCTTACAGTGAGCAGCCCAATGCTTAACCCAGTGTGTCACCAGCACTCCTGTATCCCTATAGAAATTAATCACTTATACAGGGCCTTGGTTTCCTCATCTGTAAAGAATGCCCCTTCGTTGAGTTCTTGTGAGGATGAATGAGATGTAAAGTGTCAGGCTGGGCTGGGGGGGACACAACACAATAATTAGCTATTTTTAGAATTAATAAAGAGTCCTGGTGTGGAGTCATATGATAAACATTTGACCTCGAGGTCAGTTTGAACCACAAGGTCGGTGGTTCAAACTCATCACCTGCACCTTGGAGACCCTCTCCCTCTATAGAGTCTCTATGAGTTAGAACCGATTCAACAGCACTTAATAACAATAACATATCCCTGATACCCTTCTGATTTCCATGGTAACGTTCATAGTTGTGTCTTTTCTTTGCCTGGAATGTCACATGAACTAAAATCTTTTTCATTGGTCATTTACTTCAGGGTCGTTTCAGTATTAACCTTTATGGAACCGGCCTGTCTTTAACAGAATCTGCCCGATGGATATCACAAGGGAATTATGCTGTCTCTGACATTAAGAAGTCACCGGTAAGGTTATGGCTTGGTTGGGGTTGGTTTTAATAACTACATGATGGTGCAGAAGGAATGAATGTGCTTTTTTTTTTTTTTAAATCACTTCAGACAGCTTTGCTTGCAATGTGTTAGGGAGTAAACACAGGGAATGGATTGAAGGCAGAAGTGTGTGTGAGTGAGTGGTATGCGGAGAGCAGGCCCTTGATTCTTGCCTTAACTTCTGGTGGATTTTGCCAAAAGATGTAAACAAATGAACCGTCTAAGTAATTAGATGGACTGTCTAACCAGGAAGCTAAAAGCAGCTAGAAGTATCTCAGTGAGTCTTCGGCTCAGACATCGTGTAATTAAGCCAGCATGTGATTTTCTTGTGTTGGACTTAGGGAAGAGGATTTCTTTTGTCTTGTTTCAAGAGAAATTGAAATACAAATGGGGCTGCAGAAAAGAAGCAACAATTTGTCAGCTGGAATTTCTAGAATTATAGAAATACAAGTTTGATGATAATCAGTTTTTCTCTAAAATATTGCTGCTCAAAATGTGATCCACCACCTAGACCATGGGTGTTACCCAGGAATTTGTTTAGAAGTGTAGGATTTGGGACCCCTGGCCTACTGAGTCACATTGTTTAACACGGTCCCCAGACGGCTCACATGCTCAGTGCAGATTGAGAAGCACTGGTACGTACGCTGTTTCTCTGTCTGGGTCCCTGTTAGAATCACCGGGAGAACTTTCCAACACAAGTGCCCGGGTCTCTCCCTGTTGAATTGATCCGAATGTCTGAGGAGTGGGACGCAGAACAGTTTGGAACTGAAGTGTCCTTGGGTGATTCTGACACATAGACTTTCCACAGATGTTCTGAGGATGTCAGGTGGGACCCTGATTGTGGAAAAAGGGAAAACTTCCTGGAGTATGAACTGTTTTCGCAGTCCTATCTCAGTCCCGACACCTGCCATGGGGTCTCCTCAGAAATGTCTTAGTTAAATTAGTTAAGTAGTGCTTTAACAGAAATACAAGTGGGTCTTTAAAGAACAGCTTTATTTTCTCCACAGTTTAGGAAGCTCAAAGTTCAAATTCAAGGTACTGGCTGTAGGGGAAGGCTCTTTAGGCTTTGGGGAAAGCTCCTTGTCTCAGCTTCTGTTGTCTTCCCCACCTCTCTTGGTGCTTGCTTACTCTCTGCCAATACTGCTCCTTAAAACTCAGAAGAGCCAGAAGTGGTTAGGATTAGAATTCACACTAAGCAGACAGGACTGTTCACAAAACAAAGAAAACCCCAGTCTCAAATGGATTACATCCAACACGGTCAGGATTCCCACACATTCTGGGAGACATAAATCAAACCCTAACAGGGAACAAAAAGAGATTAGGTAGAAATATTTTACATAGGATTGCCATATTTATCAATTGAAAATACAGACATCCAGTTAAAATCGAATTTCAGATAAATAAATACGTTTTTAAAATGTAAGTACTCTTATTCTTTGTACGGAGTCCTGGTGTGGTGCTGTGGGTTGATGCGCTGGACTGCAAAGTCGATTTAAACCACAAGGTAGACATTTCAAGCTCACCAGCTTCTCCTCAGAAACCCTAAGCAGGGTCACTATGGGTTGGAACTGACTCATTGGCACTTAACAGCAAACAACAAAGTCTTAATTTGTCTCACACATGCAAAGTTTGAGGCATACTTACATCAAAGAAAAAGCTCTCCAAAACAACTCACAACAAGCCCAGGGCCATAAGTCAGTTCCAACTCATAGTAACCCTGTGTAGAGTTTGGAGGCTGTGATTCTTTGTGGGAGCAGAAAGAAGCCTCATCTTTCTCCCTTACAACTGCTCATGGGTTTGAACTGCGGTTATCAGTCCAGTGCTTACCCTGTAGCACCACCAGGGTGCACTTATGCTCTCTCTCTATATATATATATGTCGGGGGCGGGGGGTTGTTGTTACATGCCTTTGTGTTGTTCCGACCCATAGTGACCTTATATAAGGTTTCCAAGGCGTGACTGATGAGCTTGAACCACCAACCTTGAAGTCCAAACTGATTTTGCAGTACAGTGTATTAACTCACACCAGGTCTCTCTCTCCAAATATATATTTGTGTGTGTGTGTATATATATATAAATTTAACATTTCTGAATATATATGTATATGTGTATATATATGTATGTGTATATGTCTGTGTGTGTATATATATATACACATACACACACACACACACACACATAAGGAGCTCTGGTAACATAGTGGTTATGAATCTGGCTACAAACCTCAGGGTCAGCAGTTAGAAACTACCAGCTGTTCCGTGGGAGAAAGATGAGGCTTTATACCCCATAAAGATTTGCAGCCTTGGAAACCCTGTACAGGGTCTCTATGAGTTGGTTCTGACTCCAACGCACATAACAACAACATGTATATATACATATATAAATATATATATATTTAGAAATGTTAAATTTGAGAGGAAATTCACTGCCTTTTCCCTCCATCAACTACCTCACATCTAAGGAGTCCTAGAGGCACTAAAGTTAATCGCTTGGCTGCTAACCACAGAGTTAGCAGTGTGAACCCACCTAGCATCTCTGTAAGAGAAAGGCCTCACTATCTGCTCCTATAAAGAGTACAGCCAAGAGAACCCTATGTATGGGCAGCTGAAAAACACACCTCAGATCTCATTACATGGCCATATTAATGGCTTGTAAATCGTTAAATATTTTGCATGTATCAAGGGAATATTTAGAATGTGCCCCCAAATTACAGTGTTCTTCCCCTATACCTCATCCTCCAGCATCCTTATATTATGTTTCAGTGCCTCAGAGGAACAACAACAACAAAAATCTAACCATTCAAACTGTGGTTAGACATGAAGTTTGATTATGTAGCCAGCCATTTATGTAAACTGCAAAACTTAAAATTGCAATTCTCTTTGAGCTCACAGAATCAAGTGTAGCTTTCAGCACCAGAAACAGAATCATCCCAGCCTTGGGCGCCCCCTTGTGGAGAGGATTGTCACTACCCTACCAAGTTGCTCTGGTAGCTTCCTTTTGAGAAAGTGGCCTATGCAGGAGCAAACTGGTTCACAATGGTTTGTCAGCATTATCATTTTTAAAATCCATTTCACTGCTCCTTGACAGCTCAGAGAACCTGAGCTCAAAATGGAATTCAAGGAGATGCCAGGCATCTCAGTCCTTATGAAATACCACCTCGGAGCCAGGATTGAGCAATCTCCTGCTCACAGCAGCCTGGAGGTTTATGAATCTGACCAGAGTGTGGTCCACAGGGCAGGCTCTCCTGGGCATGCTCCTTGACCAAGATATGTAGGAAACACTGCATATTTTATTTCCTTCCTGAGGAAGCACAGGAAACATTAGCATACTTTGTTGTTGTTAAGTGACCTGTGTGTGAGAGACTTTGTTTAAACCAACATTCTCCTAATTCCCAAACCCACTTTTACCCAGTCAATTTTGATACATAAAGACCCTGTTTGGGATTTTAAAGGCCTTATATCTTTACGTTGTTGTTAAGTGCCATCGAGTGGATTCTGACCAATAGTGACCCTGTATAGGGTTTCCGAGGAGCCGCTGGTTAGGTTGAACCGCCAACCTTGCAGTTGAAAGGGCTTTGCAGTCTGGTACAGTAGCCCACAGCGCCATACTGGGACTCCTTTAAACTCCAAAACAGGGTCGTTATGTTTATAAGGGAGTCCTGATGTGGTGCTGCGAGCTAATGCATCAGACTGCAAAGTTGTTTGCGCTGCAAGGTCGGTGGTTCAAGCTCACCAGCTGCTCCTTGGAAACCCTGTCTACACAGGGTTGCTATGGGTCGGAATCGACTCAATGGCACTTAAGAAGAACAACATCAGTTATAACGTATCTTTATAAAAGCAGAAAGTCTCATCTTTATCCTGTGGAGTAGCTGGTGGGTTTAAACTGACTACCTTATGTTTCAGTGCAGACCAGGGCTCCTTTCCCTTAACCAGTGTGTCTCAAACTTGAGAGTGCATTAGCATTACCTGTTGATTTGGGATAGGGTTTAACCAGTTATGTTTCTGACCAGGAGCATTTAGCTGATGCCCCTGGTATGAAACTACATTCTGAAAAGAGACCTAAACTAAACCATCTATGCAACTCCACTTTCAAAGTTACACCTTTGAATTTCACCATATACTCAGTGTTCCTTGGAACACACTTTGGAGAATTTCACAGTATTCTCCTCCCACTTGTTACCTTCCACCATCTTAACCCTGAGGGTCTGAGACTCCTTCAGTTATTATACTGCCCTTTCAAAACTGCCTTGCTTTGATTTGGGCCTCAAATCATCAGTCTTCATATTCTTTTGCTTTTCTGCTGAGAGGCACAGAAGAGAAAACGCAATGAATACCTCAGTTTTCTAAACCTGCTTGGCAATAAAACGTTTTCTCCAAGCAAAATGCAAGGAAAGCTCTAGTCATCCAAGGTGAAATTGCATCCTCAGTCCCACGTGGAAGAGAGAAGTGTTGTCCCACTCCCCAGGGCAGAACTGATCAAAGTGGTCTCAATGTCAAGTTCATTGTTGAGTCCATGGCATTATTGTACTGTTGTGGATGTCAGTTGCCACTGAGTCGATTCTGACTCGTAGGGCCCCAAGTGTCAGAGAGATCTGGTCCATAGCGTTTTCAAGGCCTTTGGAAGAAGGCTTTTCTTCCGAGATGCCTCTAATCAGGTTTGAACTATCCATTTTCAGCTAGTAGTCAAGCACTTAACTGTTGGTACCACCTAGGGATGCCATAATTATAACAAACAAAAAAAAGCCAAATCCCCCACCATTGAATCAATTCCAGCTAGTAGCCACCCAGTAGGACACAGTAGAAGGGCTCCTTTGAGTTCCGAGACTGTTCATCTCTATGAGAGCAGATGGCCTCATTGTTCTCCAGCACGGCAGCTGGTGGATTTGAACCGACAGCCTTGTGGTTAGCATCCTAACACTCTACCTACTATTTATTGGATAATTTACATATACTGGATCTTATTCCTTCCAGCTCTCCT